ACAAATACCAGCAAAACCTGACAAGGCTATGGAGTGGTTAAGAGCATGGGTTCTAGTCAAACTGACCAACATTCGCTGTGTGAGTTGGGCCAGTTACTTGACCTCTCTGAGGCTTGGGTCCTTATCTATAAAAGTGGGATGATAGTAGATAACAATAATACCAATGGGGTAATGTATGTAAAGTGCTTAGTTCAGTACCCAAGCTCAGTAAATGGTACTCTGTGCTGCCTGTTATCTTGGCCTCTACAAATTTCTGAGATTCTGGCATAAGCAGCAATCCTTGTGACTGCATCCTTATTAGGACAGAACTTCCACTCACTGCTGTTTTTACACCTGTCCAGTCCTTTCCCAGATCTCCACCGCTACCACCAGGCCAAGCCACAGCACTTTCTGCCAGAACTCCTGCAACCAGCTTCTACCTGGTCTCCCAATTCACCCTTTTCCCCTTCCAATCCATTTTCCATCACAGTACCCAGAACGATCATTCCACGGTCCAAATCTGGCCATGTCACTTCTTTACCTAAAACTCCTCACTGTCTGCCCATTTTAGTTCCTTAAAATCCACAACCCATTCCATGGCTTACAAGGCCTTGCATGGTGTAGCACCGCTTTCAAGTTCTCTAACGGGTCAAACTCTTTCCTGACTCTGCACATCTCCCCCTGCCTGGCTCATGCTTTCCCGCCACCCCACCCTCCTCCACCTGGTTTACTACTCAGCCTTCAGGTCTCAGCTCACTTCCTCAGAGAGGCCTCCCTGGACTTACTAACCCAACTGAAGTCTCCCTAGTTTACTCTCATCATAATACTTATTCAACATAACACCACATTTGTAGCTGGGAATTTTTCTGTAATTATTTCATGTCTCTCTGCATGGTAGATCTGTACACACACTGCTGTCCTAGAACAATATCAGGTACATGGTAGGCACTGCTTAAATAGTAGTTTAATTAACAAATGTGTGGATAAATGAATAAACGAATATCTTGTCAGGGGTTGTGAATCCTTTTGTTCTTCCTCCATTGATGGGCTGGGCTGGTTTGGAGGTTTGTGAAAGGTTGTGACCTGCAGTGCAAACCCACTACGTGAGGGGTCAGGAGGCTGGATTCTAGTCCCAGCTGCCCTACTTCTGGGCTGTGTGACCTTAAACAAGCTTTGGAGACAGGAACTATGACTTATTCATCTTCCTGTCCAGAATGCTTGGCACAAGCACAAGCTCAGAAAATGAACTCTTTCCTATTCTAAATTTCCCCAAACTCACCATCAACAGGACTTTTAGAACTGCAACTTTAGTTGAGGGTATCTATATAGAGTGGATGTCTACGCAGACCTTAAAAATGCACACATGGAGACCTGAACTGCCTGCAGCACAAGCCAGGGCCCTCTTCATGAACAAGGTCATGACTGTAGAGGCCACGTGCACAAACACAGATGCCCAGTTCCCAGGGCCTGTTTATTCACAAGGAAAATGTGGAGTATTTAAACCTCTTTGAAGTGACAACAAATTGAGTTCATTTCAAATCAACTCTTTGGCGCCAGGAATGAGTATACAATGATGACTAAATGTCTGCTTGCCATGGATTCAACTTAGTAGAAGGAAAAGTGAACATTCGATGAAGAAAGGTTGGAACTAGGAGGAGAGACAACCTATAACGTCTTTAGTCCTGGTCTTCAGAGAAGTGGCTCCAACAGCTAGACTATATGCCTATCTGAAGCATTTAGCAATTCCACAAAACCAGAGAACAGACACAGTAGCAAAGCTACTTGTTTGAGAGCATAAAAGGCTAACTGTGTCTTGGCCTCTCCTGGCATGGTAGACATAAATCACTCGCATGTCAAACAGTGCCAGGACAGCCTCTGCTTCCGGAGCTGATCCCAGAAACCAAGGGCGTGGAGGAGATTGCCTGGCAAGGAACCGTGAAGCAGTGGTGTCAGCTCAAGCGGAGCCTCTGACTGATGGCAGAGCTGGCATTCGGTTCATAAGATAAGCCACATTCTGAATAAACTCAGCCTACCTCTTACAAACCCGGCCCCTGCAAACCCACAGAAAAGACAGGGGTGGTTTTTAGAGGCTTAAGGGATCCTTAGATGAATGGGAATTCCTTTGAGCCAACAGAGGTGCTTATTACACTCCTGACTCCATCACCCTCCTCACCCCTAATCTCCCAGTTCCAAGATGGAGTGGTCCCTCTCTCAAACCAGATTTTGTGATTCTTCTACTTTATACCAGATACTACCTTTTTTTTATCCTCTCTACAACCCTATGAAAGAGTCTTTCCCCATCTAACTCATTTTGCCAATGAAGACACTGAATTAAAGGGACTTCTCGTATCTCTTGATCTGGTAAGTGGCAACACTGATACAGGGTTTTCTGATTTGAAATTCTTGCTCTTCACTGTACATTCTGTTGAACCATTGGCCTAAATTTGATTGATTTTTCTTGTCAGGACCTCTTGTTCAGAGATTCTCTCCTTTGGGGTATCCCCAAGCACAGTGAGGGTTTCCTGGGCATGGGGTGGGGACAGATGGCCTGTGGAAGGTTTCTGTGCCCTTGGTGGCAAGTTGGGTAGGCTTCTCCAAGACCAACAGACAAATTGGAGGTTCTCAGAGAGAGAGCAGGGGACCCTTCCCTCTGGGGCCCTCTGTGACCGTGGATCTCCCCAACTTATACTTGCTGCAGTCCCATAACCTCCCAGTGGCCCCATAGGGCGGTGGCCCCTCAGCTGCTGGGCCACGACAGTATTGGAGACCAAGGCATATTTTGACCCAGTTTCCTTACTGTAGGGCATGGAATCAGGGTTGCCAGGCTTCCTTCTGAGTCATTCCTGCTGGGAGCCACCAGTAGCCACCGAGTTTCCACTGGCTCCCTGTCCATCCCATCTCTGTCCACCCTCCTTTTTCCCTTTCACATTCGAGAGCCAGTACTTTTCCTTAAGGAAGTCCTTGACACTGTGGCACCTTCATGGAAACCTTGAAGTTTCTCCCTCTGGCCCAGGCTCTGACACCTGTTCCAGGAGTGCCTGGGCGAGGGCGCTGGCAGCAAGTGTGGAAACAGACCCTAGATTCAAATATAGGCAGGTCACCCATAGGCCCCCTTCAGGGATCCAAGGGAATGGGACTGGCCAGTTTCCACTTTCCCAGAGGCTTCCCCAAGAAGATGTGGAAGGCTAACTGCTTGTCCTGTGGAGACTACTTTTCCCTCAAGGTCCTCTTGGTGCTCAATCAGATGCTTGAAGTGCCACCTCCCATCCCACTGCCACCTCTTTTACCGGCTCTGCTCCATTTTGTCCCCTTCAATAAGCACAGGACTCAGCGCTCCAGGGCATACCTGCACTTCTCAGGGTCATCCTGGGGACTCCCTTCCACCTTCGTGCTCCTTCATTCCTCTCCCTCATACCTCATCGCGCCCCATCTCAACTTTCACTGCCCACTCGCACCCCAGTTCTTGTCCCTTCAGACTCCTCTCCACAGACTTCCTGACTCCTTCTGAGTTTGATGACTCTAACACAGGACCAAGTACGGAGCTGGTACCAAACACTTTTTGTGTTGATTTTAAATAACAGAACATAGGAATCCAGAGGTCATGCCATTCACCACCCTGCTTTGTACATAGAGGAACCGAGGCCTGGAGAGAAATATAATAGGACCTGGTCACAGGAACCAGGTCAGTTAGCTGCAAAGCTAAGATGGGGCCCCAGGACCCCTAACTCCAAGCCACTTTCTCCCCATTGGCCATGGTCATGACTCCCATCGACACGCCTTCTTCCATATCCCTCTTTTACCCCCAGAACAAGACTCTGAGTGGCTAGGCTCTGAAGGGTCCTTCTGGCCTCCATTTCCTTACTGTGTGATGAGTATGGGGTGGCGTGGCAAAGGGGTTTGTGAGGGGGAGGGTTGGAGAGTTGGAGAGGTGCTGGTTGTTTCATTTGCTCTTAGCCAAGCCCTTAAACATTTCAAGGAAGGTGGAATGTTCCCTTTCACCAGCGTTGTGTCTCTTATTATTTGTAAGAGAGCCTGTTCCTTCTGACCCACTCCCAAGAGATGATTCCTTGAGTTAAAGCTTCCCCAGGCCTGTTGAGCAGGGGAAGGGGTTGTGATTATATCCTCGGTTTGGGCTCCTGACTCCTCACTCTCCTGGGCCCCACAACCTCTCAGGAGATTCATACACCGAGAAATACAGGATAAAACCTGGTTCTAGAGCCAGAGGGGCAACTTGGAAGCTCGTGAGGAGAGAATGGGGGACCCAGAAGGAACTTCTCCATCAGGCCTTGATTCCATTCTACCCCTAGCTCAATATGCAGAGGGGAAGTAGAGGGTGGGGGAGGCCACGGCCAACACCAAGGCTAAGAGCCCTGCCCTGAGGACATTACCCCAAGAGGAGGGTTTTAAACCCAAGGTCAGAAGCAAGAAGTTGACTGCCCCCATCGCAGCTGTCCTCTAGTCCCTGTCTTGTTTCTCCCAGCCAGTCTGCCTCTTTTCTTCCTGTCCTCTTCCTTCCAGTCCTGCCTGTCTCTTCTGGTTTTTCTCCTCTCTCTGCGTCTATTTTGTTTTGATTCATCTGTCTTTTCTTCTGTCTCTACATCTTTATATAAGTTTTTCTTCCAGTTCTGTCACCCAGCTTTCCTGTTTTCCTCTGTGTCTGTCTCTCTCCTCAGATCTTTCCCCTTCATTCTATAGTTCTGCCTACTGGTCCTTTTCTTCCCGCAAAATAAGTGCCGATTCCCCCAATGCGTTTCCCTAAACCAGGGCACTCCTCGCCCTAGAGAGCTCTCTGCTTCTCTCTGTCTCTATCTTCTCTTTTATCTGTCTCTTACCATTCTTCCCCTTTCTCTCCCCATCTTGTTCATCTCTGTCCACTCACCTCCCTCCCTCTCTCTCTCCTCTCTCTCTCTCTCTCTCTCTCCCCTTGCCCCCTCGGACAGACCCCAACTCCCCTGATGGGCTTCCTGAAGTCAGCCAACCCTGCCCCAAGAATGCTGCCCCCAGAAACTTGCATCACTTACCCCAGGCCACTGGCCAAAGGAGGCAGGAACATAAGCAGCTCAGGAACACCAAGGGGACACTCCTCCAGTGGGCCTCCCTCATGGCTCCCAAAAGAGTCTCTCAGGTTGCACAGGGAAGTTCCTCAGCACAGAAGCGGTGGTGTGAGAAGCAGAAGTTAGACCGTCCCCACCAGCTGCCGGTCTGCAACAGGTGTATTTCCCTGAGGGACCGAGTACCAAGGGAGGAGGACAAAAGAAGGTGGGGCCCCATACCAATCATCCTTGCCCAGTCTTTTCTTTCCTCAATCTCCATCCACTTGCCCCACCAGGAAAAAGAAAAACCTATACAATCATTCCTCTGCTACTAGTCAGCCCGAGCCAAGTAGGAGGAGGGATGGGAGGGGATGTGGGGAATAGAAACCACGAGCACTGGAAACGAGTGGGCCACCTTTGGCCTGGGATCCTGGGCCCCCTCCTGCTTCCCCAAAGGCTGTCCCTGTCCTGCTGGAGTTTGGGACTTTTATACTGGGAGGCAGCTGTGTCATTCCAGAAGAAGGACAGGGGAAGATGGGAAAGAAAGGGGGCAAGAGGGAGGAGTTTGGGGCTGTATGAAGAGGAGAAAAAATGAGATTTGCAGAGACCCTAGGAAACATGGAGAGTGGGAAAAACTGTGGGGTGAGAGGTAGGAATCAGAAAACTGTGGGGTGAGAGGTAGGAATCAGAAAACTGTGGGGTGAGAGGTAGGAATCAGAAAACTGTGGGGTGAGAGGTAGGAATCAGAAATACCCTGTATGGGGCCGGCCGAGTGGCGCGGTGGTTAAGAGCTGGCTTGGGACGCCAGAGGGCCCCGGTTCGGATCCCACATATGAGGGCCAGTGACACTGCCC